TGTTCTTAAAACTCACTTAATCATACAGGTACTGGATTATTATCGAATTTTTATGGCTTACAATTGTCATACACGCTTATACGTACTTATATCGTATAATGTTTTGGCTAATCACTAAAACTAAAGTTCTAAAAATAACACATAATTAAGTAATTAGCATAAATTGACGTCTGATGTAGGGAAACGAATAAATATTTAGTGGTTTTCGATAACGCCCGTAAATAATTTTAGTTAACGTATTTATATATAATTAATATATTGATGATTAGTTTTAAATATAGGATAAGTTAAAATTTGAATTAACTTTTTTTTTTAGATTAAAGCCTTAAGGTCCCCATACACTGAAGCGATTGGACGGTAGCGATGGCGATGGTGATGAAGGTGGCAGTAAATCGACACAATCGAAGGTACCGACAAAGCAAAAGAATTTTACTGCCACCGCTGCAGAGTGACCTTAGAGCGCTTCAAATCAGTGTTCATTATTAATTATTATTCAATATATGCCTATGATAGCACTTATAAACTTTTACAAAATTGTGAACATTTTCAAGATAATATTTTAATACAATAGGTAATTGTGGTAATGTAGGTATCTCTGATGTGTATARTTCTATGATAATATTATGCTTGTTATGAGATCAGATGTCTTGAGAAAATCTATAATTCACGATTGTTACCTATAGTTATATGAATGCTTCTTAAGATAAGATACGGTATTGTATTGATGCGTTTAATTTTGTTCCAGTGTGTTGGTAGATGCCAATTGCCAGGTGGYCMCATTCAAAGAATATTCGTGTTTCATAGATAATACCCTGAAGAGACACATTTCAATCTCACTCGTGTTGGTTTGGGTTTYCTACAATTAAGATGAGAATCTGAATATGTAAGTCTTGGATTTCCAATGCTCGGGATTTTATCAATTTTACCGTTTTAAAGTGRTTGGTGGYAGTAGTTTTATGTATTTTTCTAACACATATGCAATATAGGRATTTAGACATGTTTTCATTCTATCGTACCGATTGATCTAGAGAGATCTTAAGAATACCAAAAATAGATTTTAATTTTTCGTCAAGTCAAAAATCAAAAATCTGGAAAATTCTATGTTAAGTTGATTTGAAGAAAAATTMAAATTTATTTTTAGAATTCTTATCACTTAACTAGATCAATGAGTACTTTTGAATTGAAAAAAGTATATAAATCAATATGTTCGGCGTGTGTTAGACAAAGACCAAAAATCTCTGCTTCCAATTTTGATGGTATTTTGCATCTGTTTTTCCGCTGACTATCAATTCCATGTATATTTAATAATTAATGCAATATATACAATAACTCAAATAATGAAGAAGATTATTCTTATTATATTATTTTAAAAAAATAAATACGAATATTAAAGTGAAATGCTCACATTTTTGTTTTATACATATAACATATATATTCAATATTTTTATGACCTTTGACGGACRACGGTTATACACATTATGCTGTTCTTGTTGTTTTAATAAAGTAAATTAATTTAATGTTTAATCATGCATTTTATTCAACACCAAATAGCTAAACATCACAAAAACCAATACGACGATACTGCATTACTGCTATCCTGTGAACTCAACTTATGGTATTGTGTCAGGATAACATTATTACATTAATATAATAAACAATAATATTTACGTTTATGATATACCTATAAATTATGAATCGTTTGTATTAATATTATAATTTTCAGTTATATTATTTTATGTCTACACAGCTGCTAAAGCCTAAAATGTTATGTCTGTATGATTTTTTATMAAAATTAAATTCAAACATCGAAAATATACATAACAGTTCAACACCACATAATACTTCATAATATACAGTGTGTTCACCGATTTAGGGAACACTGAGTTTCTCGGCCGGATTTGTTTGGAATAAATCGATTTTTTTTACAAACTGGTGGTATATGAATACACGTTTTTCGATACATTTCAAATTTTTTTGAGAATTTGGTCTACGCATGCGCAGTAAAAACTATTTTTTTAATAGCAACACCTACTTTTAACACCATATTCGGATAGGCCTATTTTTTAAAGTACTTTTCATGTATCAACTATGGCTCTAAATTCAATATTCACTGAATAAGAGCCATGTCAATTTTATTAAATAATACATTTTTAATTAATTACTTTTTGAATACCTATTTGTACGTATTTATTTTTTTAGAAATGTTATAAACAAGACTAACATAATATGGATAGGTACAACATTATTTATTAAAAATCGACTAGGTACAACAAGTGAACAATATAGTTATTTTATAATTACACAATAAATTAAATAAATTGTTCAAWGTTTGCTTCAAAGCAATAAATAATTATAAATGTTTAAAAMTGTTTAAAAATGTATTATTTAATAAAATTTACATGGCTCTTATTCAGTCAATATTGAACTTAGAGCCATAGTTGATACACGAAAATTAATTTAAAAATATAGGCCAATCCGAATATGGTGTTAAAAATAGGTGTTGCTATTTAAAAAAAAAGTTTTTACCGCGCATGTTCAGACCAAATTCTCAAAAAACTTTGAAATGTATCGAAAAATGTGTATTCRTATACCACCAGTTTGTAAAAAAAAAAATCAATTTATTCCAAACAAATCCGGCCGAGAAATTCAGTGTTCCCTAAATCGGTGAACATACACTGTATAGTTTTTTTAGTAATAATATTTATATATACACGTATAAAAATAGTGATATACAAGCATTATCGGTAAAAATCGTATATTTCTCAATAAAAGAGAATAAATTTAGGTATTCAGATATAGCTTTTTCATTTATAAGACAAACATTGGATAATTAAAAAAAATATTTATCTGGAAAATATAAAAATAAAGACTTGATATGTATAGGTAATACTTATAGGTAGACCTCGTTATAGACTATAGTATATGTAGGTATTATTCTCATAAATTAATCTAGATAATTTCAACACTGCGCTCAAACCCAAATACCCCAAGTGCCATATTTTATACTTATGGATATTTTTCCAAGTGAAGTCAGATAATACAATTTGTTAAAAATATTTCTAGAATTAATATATATTAGGTTATATATAGTTGGATTTTTATCAAGAGATACATTACGTTATTATAACAATTAAACTATAATATATYCATTGACTCATGACTGTCTATACTGCTGTCAGGTTGTATATGAGTAAGGTTTAAGATTATAATAATGTAATACATTTGAAGTAAACAAAATAAATATGCAAATATTATAAAATATTATACATATAGTAAAATATAGGTATACCGCATCCAGCGGTAAAGTGTGAGTAGTGTGACTAAGCAATAAACAAGTAAGTACTGTTTAATCCTGTTAACTGTTATCACTTTTAATTTTAAATTGTTCAACCTTATAAGTACTTGCTCTGTTGTTCAGTGCTGCAACTACTGGGTGTGCATTGCACATCGGCCCCCAGATTGATGTGCTAAAATTAATTGTAAAGTTGGAGCTATGGAAAATTTAAGTGAAATGAAGAATAAAAGAAAACCAATTTGATACTAAATATTTATTATTGTAATTAAATATCATACCTAACTGTTCAGTATTCACTTGTTRCCTGATGGCAGTGGCCAAAATTTGATTTAAAAATATGTTGAAGTTATACTATGATGATATTTTTATAAAAATTATACAATTATTACAATTATATAAATATATAATCATTACAATCATAGAATTAAATAATTTAATTTTTGTTTTTGTTTAGCTATTTATATTTTATAACTGAGTTCAAATTTCAGGTACTTACAAGTTACAACATAATATTATTTTGTCWATATMTTTTGCTGACAAGTGACAGTTATTGTTCATGTGCATTATCCATAAAATTAATTAAATGATGCAACTTTTATAATTATTTTACTAAAAATTTGATTAAAAAAATTTTGTTCAAGTAAAACTACGGTCTACAGGTATTCTGACATTCTGTAGTAATATATCATATTTTTTCATAACACTTTTCTGTATAATAATGTGAAAAACTATTAATAACATGTCTATAAAACATTTTAAGACGATTATAATCAAATATTTACTAGACTACCTCCATAATATAATCACCAGTTAACATAATTGTTTGAAAATAAAATGTAGGCCCCAAATTATGATTTGCACATTATTCCCGTAATGTGTAGTTGCGGCACTGTATTTGGTTAGTTGCTTAGTTCGATTTTACTTTAAAAAGTCTGTTAATAACTAATTAATAGTTGTTTAATTATAGATAGTATTATAACTAATTAATGTCATAATAATTAATAATATTATGATCATATAATGTGGCGTTATGGATAGGTCTTTTATGGGCATAGCTGTCCGGAGTGCATTTTGTTCATTGTTCATACATCAGTAGATACTATTCACAATTCAGACTGAATTCACACATAATAATATTATATTATACTAATTATATTAATATCACAATATCACCTATATGTATTTTATCACATTACAGTACAAAMAACTTACAAATAATTATATCTATTATCTATTATAGGTAAATAGGGCGAAAATAAKTAGTATGTTAATATGTATGTTGTATATAATACATATAATTTTTTTATTTATTTTTATAAATAAATGCATTTACAATCTGTAATATAATAAAACAATAAGTATAAATTTGAGATTTTTTTTACAAAGTTTGGAAGTATTAACTGGTGGATAGAGAAATATTAAAGTATAATTTTTTAGAAATTGTTTGTACTTTGTAGTTAATACATCGTAGCGTAATAATTTTGGAGTTCAATGCTGAGTGATTATCCTTTTACTGAACATCATCGTGCCAACGAGTACACGGAAATTTAAACCGTGGCCACACTGCGCACGATTATTTTGGTACCAGTGACTCCCACTACAGTGCCGCGGTAACCGTTCGACCGGAACGGAACGTTTCGTAAAACCCGCGAGTAACCACCAATAATTACCAGCAGTTACTGGTTACCTAATTCCCAAACTATCGTTCATTCGTGCGCTCTTGCCGACAATCGTTTCGTCACATCGAATATTTCGTGTCAATGTTTTGAAACCAGAAACACATTCCTCAGCTGCAACTGATAACGTTACACAGACTGACAGTCACACAGAGCACTTTCTATTATTCGGATTGACTGTGTTGTGGTAGCGCAATATTATTGTGATTGTCCGCCGATTTCGTTCAGAAATTGATTACGGTCGTTGATTAGARTTGTTAAGTGAGAACTTTCGACTTTTGAAGTTTCGAATGCGAATTAATCTGTGCTAAGAAGTAGATCACTCACTCTTCACTGGGAGTCAATCACTGGACGAGGCGGTGGTTCGGAGGAGAATATTGGAAAYTGTACTGGGCTTTGGAAACAAGGAACACATCAGCTGCTTGTAGGACGATAGACGATTAAACAACCRTTTCATCGCCAGTACCTAATTGCATTGTGGTCTKTTTCTGTCGTTCTGAAAACAAGGTTAGTTTATCTATCCAATTGGACGTTCGGTATTTAGGTACATTCAAAATCTGACTAGTTAGGTCATAATACGGTTGGCACTTCGAACGGTTGTTATTATCAAGAAACAATGACTGATCAAAATGAAACGGACAATGAAGACTGGAAGGAGAAGTTCAAAGCTCTGGAAAAAGAATACGATGATTTTCGAGAACAGTCTCAGTCACTGGAACATGAATTGGAAATGGATGTTGAGCATTTGGAAAAAAACAACAAGGAGCTTAAATCAAAAAACAATCAATTACAATTTGATCTCGATACATTAAGGGTATGTTCATGATTAGAAAAGATTTTGTTATTTATTAATTATACATTTGGCTTAGTTTAATATGAATTCCTATGTTGGCTATTTTGATTTGAATAAAGGCCCATTGCTCATCCAGTGTTCAAAATATTTATGACAAACAAGTAATTGTTTTAATTGGTTTATGCCTTATAGTCTAAAAACCGTGAAGAGCAACAAAATCTAATGAACCAAATACATAGTTTACAAGAGGAGGCTATCCATTTTCACGAAAGAGAAACAAACTATGTAAAATACATCAGAGAGTTGGAACAGAAAACTGAAGACTTAGAAAAATCACAAAGGTTTGTTAGATTTTAATCAATTATCATTAGGTATCTATAAATATATTTATATTTCAGTACAGTTTAAGAGGACGCTTAACTCACATGTGCTGTCTCCATCTTACAAATGYGTAACTTGRCAAATTATATGTACTGAATAATTTTTATTTAACTCTGATATTGTGATATGATTATTAGAATGACCTCTTATCAAATTTAAAAGTAAAAAATATATAATCTAGTTAACCTCATAGGTTTTTAAATTGTAAATTGTATGTGCATTTTAAAATATTCATAATTTGCTTAAATATATTATAAATTTAAAAAAAAAACTTAAGAGGTTCACTAAATTATATTCTTACTTCTACATTCAATAATAGGTCAATTCAGTCCTATATTAGACCTACCCGAGTTAAATATATTATTCTGAACGTACAAAATATGGTATGTTTTTGTGCTTGTTAGACAGAGAACACATGCGAGTGTAGCGCCCTCTTAATAATTTTATAATATTAGATGAAAGTAATTGTGTTATATTATTATTTAAGAATAGATTTTCAATACATTATTTTATTACAGTATATTTTCAATATACTTTAACATTATCTTAACTAAAGGCTGATAGTCTTAATAAAATTATATTATATTTTATGAATCAATGGACTGCAATAATTGACTCATATGAATTATATAATTCTAACCACAAGAARTGTGTTAGTGTGTATATTAGTTAAGTTGAAAAATAAGAATATGAAATCAAAGGCCCATTAGATAAGAAAAATGATAATTGAATCAAATGGAATTGTTTSAGGCAGATGGTCATAACTCATAACATTAGGAGGTAGTCAATATGAGGAAAATAATAATTTTTCTAATAATCTGCTTTCGTTAAATTATTTTTTCTTCTGAGTACATTAACAGCTATGACTTAATATTACAATAAGTAAATTGATTGTTAAAAGTATACTAGTATAGCATAAGTTTTATTTTTGATCTCCAACAATTAATGATTGAATATATATGTATATTGTTATTGATGACAAATAATTGTTGTCAATAATTGAATAATTGCCCATTTTTATTTTCATTCTGCTACTTTTTAATTATTTATAACTYATTACTGTTACAATTTTACATCTTTGCCAACTAATGTTTTGTTGTGTTAATCTTGCTATTATAATTATATTTACTACTATTAGATATTATTACATTAGTAAGTACTTCCATAACTCATCTATAACCAACTGATATAAATAAAAAATGTATTATAATAGATATATTATCAAAAGTAATAAAAAAATATTTATTTGAATCTAAAAAATTAATTACTTTTAAAATAACAACAATTATTTGATTAGTTTCATAAAATAAGTGACTTACCTGTATACATTTTATTTTTAATGCTGTGCTGTACCATTTTGAGATTAGGCATCAGAAAATATTATTGTAATATTTGTTTTTCATCTGACCCACACGCAACAGATAAAATTCATAACATATTAAGTAAAATAGTTTTTTTTAATGGTTTTTGAGTAATCTTAAAGTTGAAATAACTATTACAAAAGTTATAGCACATAATATTTTTTAGAATTATATCGGTTTTAGATTTTATTAATTTCTGTTTAAAAAAAAAAGAGTAAAAAATAATTATTTTAAATGGATATAAATTGATTTGAGGCTATATTATCTAGACAAATAAATATCATTGGTGCCCACAAAAATATTATTTTCTTTCATTTTTTTAATGAGTAATTTTACTGTAAAAAAACTCAAAAAATATAAATGCGCGAATACRTTTTGCCTATGTAGCAGGAGGGCCGAGATAAAATGAATATTGTGCAAAGATCCTATTTTAAGCAGAATTTTATTTTTTGTAAAAATTAATTAGAAATATAATTTATTTATTGTCTTGATGTTTTAAATTGAATAATTTTGTTATATAAATATTTCTATCATGCTACCTGAATAAATAATCTATTTTTTTTATTTTACAGGGAAACTTGTGCATCTTTAGGAGATTTTGAAACTAAAATGAATGATGCAATTGAACGAAATGCACTTCTTGAAGTAGAACTTGAYGAAAAAGAAAGTTTGCAAGCAATGGTCCAAAGGTTAAAAGATGAAATTAGTGGTAAGTCAGACAGTAACTTGTCATATTTTCTTACCATAAAATATTAATTGTAGTTATATAATTAATATCTATTAATTTAATACAAATGAATGAACAGATAAACTGATAAACTGTAAAACTTTCTTAAAAATATATGATTATAATTTGTAAATAATTAAGTTCTTGAATCATACAGAATTTTTTAATTGAATATTATTGACTATATAATATTAATTTAGTTAAACAAAAATATTATTGTATTTAAWTTATAATTGTATTGGCCTATTGCAGTCTCGTCTGCCATTCTCAATTTGTCAAGCTTTATTTATATTTTACTAATATAATTTATTATGTTATCAATATTTATTATTTATCATTTATTTTGATTTACATTTCAATTTGTCTTTATTTTTTATTGGAAAATACCTTCCCTAAAAAAAAAAATAAACAAATAAATGTAATGGATACAATGTAAATTGTCATTACAATCTAGTTTACTTGTTAACAAAATGATATTGATTGTGTTATTGTATCACAAAAACTGTACTATTCTGGAAATTATTTCTGTAAACACATCGTTAGTAAGATTTTTGTTCATCAAAAATAGTTATATTGTTTATAATCAAATACTATTTACGAGAGTATAGAAAACTTAATATTAAGAGAACACTACATTCTCATGTATTGTCTCTGTCTAATAAATGTACAACAAAAAATAACAAAAACTGTTTTGTGCAGAATAGGACCACTCATGCTGTAGTGATAGCTACAGACTCCAAATTAATATACTATTTAGTTGAGAACATTATCTGTGAAATATTGTTTTTATATTTTGATATCACTTATACAAAAAAAGTTCTTATTGTTTTTAAATCAATTATTTTTATGTTTTTAAAATTTGAATAACTTTTTTTGTAGTTCTGATACAAAAAAATAAAAAATAAAAAATAAAAATACATTTCATATCCAAAATTATTCTTTTTATATAGTATACTGGGTGACATAGCTTACAATTTCTCTAGTGGTTGTGTATACAAATTCCTTTAAAATATAATAATATATTGTATTGTAAGATGTATAAACAACCACTTGTGAAATTAATTGACACAGACCATAATATCTAAAAATGTTGATGAGTTCTCATTATTATCGTACATAGTATTTGATATAATTAAAACCATCCAATTTTAAACAGTGAATAAAATAGGTATTATGTATAATTAATTTGCTCAACATCAAATTATTGTGTTATGACCTCAATACATTTGTTTTCAGAACTAAAGCAAGAAATTCAAAGTAAAGAGCGCAAATTAAATCCTGAAATGAACGAATCTCAAGCTGCAGCTGCTGTTAGGCGGTGTAGCAGTTTCAGGGCGGCAGTAGACAATAGACTGTCATCTTCAGCAGATAACACTCCAAAAAGTCATACAAAAAGTAAATTAATCTAAAATATATTTGTTGAAACTATATTRAATGTGCTATTATCAAATTTGTTTAGGTTTAAGTGGAAATGTTGTATTTCATTCACCACCCACTAAATTGGCTAGAGTTGGCGATATCGTCGGAGATCTGATGAGAAAAGTACATGTAAGTCATGTCCATTTAAATCTTTATTTATTGTGTCAAATATAATTTTTTTTACAGGTTCTCGAACTCAAACTAGTGGAAGCCAAGCAAATGAATGGAGCTAAAACTCAGAATTGTCCATTCTAACATAACGCTTTAAGGCATACCACACAAATGGTTGGCCTTCTGTAGCTGAATCCTGTATACTTTATCTGCTGCTGAGAATCCTCAAGTTTTTTATGTGTTTTCTGCTCTCTGAAAAACATCCTATTGACCTAGGGCGACTGTTTCGTATGTTTATGTCGCTAAAATACTATTTTCCAGTTTCCTGATGACACATTTGAAATGCTATTATTTTTCACAACACAAATGCAATGTAAAGTTTCTTTTTAATTAATATTTTTGTATTTAATTATAAATTATTTATATACATGATATAAGTACATAATTACATTACAAGTAAACTTATGACAAAAAAGTTTTATTTTAATTTAATTTACTTATAAATTAGTATTAAATAAGGACCTAACCAACGAAACATGGACCCTTCTTTTGTAGAAAGACAGACAATAATATGTTTGTACAAATATTTATGATATTATGCACATAAGATTATTTTTAAATCACATATGTTTATGTATAAAACAATAATGTATTACAAAAATATATTTATCCAACAAAATTTAAAAAAATGTATTATATTAAAGAAAAAAAATTGTATAAATGAAAATCGATATTGTACATTTTTCCTTTGTTTACTACATTTTTACAATTTATGAGAATGTTGACTAGACTAATTCACTTACAAATTAAAACAAATAAAAAAAATCATCATAAACAAAATACACCAACAGGAGGTGGTGCAAGTCAAATACCTTTGTATGACCGAAAGAGTTTTGGGACCCAATGCATTACAGTTAAAAACATGGTAATTTAAAATAAATTTATAAAAATGATAATAATATCATATACGTTGTAATGTCGGCGTATCGAGTGTGTAACGTATCTACTATCWATCGGGATTTATACGTTTATTAAATTCTTAACCATAACAATGTTAACAACCAATTATGAGCTGCACTATGAGATATTTGAATATAATATAATATTACACTTATATTACGATTAAAACTAAAACGAATACATTACAATAACAATAAATTATAATCAATAATATTATGTTAGTGTCTTACGTACGATGTTAGGTATTATGTGTAGTCGTACATAACAAACTACCATTTATAAAGTAACGTCACTGTTAATTTTATATTATACTTTCGATGAAGACTCTCTGGTTACAGGTTACTCGAGTGAAGTCTAGGGCCGGCCCGTGTGCCATCCGAGGATGACTACGAGGAATTGAGGTAGTCGCGCCGGGCCACATACACGCGATTACGCTATACTTAACGAATAAATTTGTACACGAAAAGAAAAAAATTATCACAGTCAAACAACACGCGCTGAACGTTTTTTTGTTGTTGTTTTTTTCTTCATCATTTATGGCACCGTCCGAGAACGACAAGAGTTAAAAAAAAAATAATAAAATATATAGAAAAACCGCGACGGACAATATCGTTTGCCCGCTCACAGAATCCACTCGAGGAACGAGCCGCCGAACCAGACGGCGACGACTGGCAACAGGTACGTGACCAGCGCCTTTTGGAGCGTCGGTTTGGCCTTGTGGCCGGCGCTTGATCCGGAACCATCTCCTCCGTCGGACGGGTCTGTGGCCGTCCGTGTCGGCGAGGGCGTCGTCGTACCGGCCGCGTTGGTGGCCGTCGTGGCTGCGGAGGCGTAGAGGACATGTAGCCGCCGCCGGAGTCTGAATCCTCGTCGCCGGAACCGTCGCCCGACGACGCTATCGCTCCGGCGCCACTCGACTCGCCGCCGTGGAACACCTCCTCCATGTCCCACTCAACGTCCAGCCCCTGGTACGCGTTCTTGAGCAGGTTGATCAGGGCCCTGAGCGCGTACACCTGTTCGTTGAGCAGGCTGCTCGGCCGCGTCACATCCACCGGCACCTCGGGATTCCTCTTCTGGTTCTTGATGCCATCCCTCATCACCTCCTTGCCGTAGCTGAAAAATTTCACCAAAATAAAATCACCGTCAGTACATTTAACTTCTCGTTGTGAGGTGTAAGCTGGGTAAATGGGCTAAAATTCGACATTTGTCGCCGATCACATGGCGGTGTGATGGCAGAAATTAAAGAAGACATCCAAAACACTAAAGTTCTTGTATTGTGTGTTAATCAACGAGGAACACGGAAAAATTAGTTAGCCGTGAAAGCCAAAGGTTATATTATTTACAGTTGTTTATAGTTTAATTTAGAATATTAAAATTTAAACGGAGCTAACTGTTTCTTCCGTTTTTTTGCAATTTGTATATTTTTTTTTCAATGTGGTTTTCACGAATATATTTCATGGAATCTTTATGCATATAATAATTCGAGACACCAAGCCATAATATACGTTTGATATTATATGTAAATAAATCACTGGGGGATTCCAAGTCGATCGTATATCTTGACAGTTTTTCAAAGCGGATGTATTACAGGAACAAGTATTGTAACCCAATTTTTAGTACATTTTATGGTTTTACGAAGTTATCTTGTTTTTTTCTGGCAGTGAATTTATATTCTGAGCGGACTGAGCGGAGCGAGGAATGTATTTATTATTTTCATTATTTTTTTTTTTTTTTTTATCAACGAACAGATCAAATTGATAGTGGGTTATTGTATAATTCGTCTTTTTATTTATAAAATAAATCGTCCAAAAACTGGTAATATATTATTATTTTACCTGACCCAAACTAACCMGACTTGAAATAATGATTTATAATTACCTGGCCAATGCAGATCCGTTCCAGCAACTGGAGTTCTGGACAGTCTCGATCACGGCCACATCGTTGTTGCACACCTCGTACGGCAACCTCTTCCAGAAGTTTTTCGTAGACGACACGTGGGTGCCGATGTCCTTGAGCAGCCTGTGGAACGCGAAAGCTGGACCTCCTTGGTCTTCTTCTTCGTCTTCGAGACCGTTGTTCTTGTTGTTCTTTTTCCTGTTCTTGTTTCCACCACTTCCGGCGCCGTTCTTAGGTCCGTTATTGTTCTTGTTCTTCCTCTGCGGCAGTTGTTGCTGCTTATTCTTTCGTTCGCCGCCCTCTTCCGGGACGTTTTCTTTTTTCTCGTTTCTGGGCTGGGTCGGCACCGCCGGTTTCACCTCGTCGTATTCGTCGTCTTCGTCGTCCTCGTCGTCGTCGTCRTCCTCGCCGTCCTCACCGGCGTCCTTGTTCTTRCCGTCGTTCATCACCCGTCCTTGTTGATAGTCGTAGTAGTCGTCGCCATTGTACAACACGTCGCGGCGGCGACGGCGCCGGCGTGACGGTTCCAACGTCGGTTTACCGCAGTTGGCGAACACCTGTTAKACACCAACAGAATGATGATACCATTAACACGGTTTCTGRTCAATAATATACATGTATTACATTACGTATTATTTTCTCGTGGTTAGTATGGGGAGAGAAGAGGGTCGAAGTCGTAGTAGGAAAGTTCAACGCAAACTGCTATTATTTTATAAGGGAATATACATCCGAAGACTTTTACTTTATACCTACACAGGGTTACGCCGGTTACGGTTGAGTATACACACATTATCATCACAAGTCGCATTTAGATTCCCCACCCCCTTTTTGTAATCTTTACCAAAATAGTCGWTTTTCTTATCTTGCAAAGAAAATCACAAAAGATGTATCGCACACAAAATGTTATTTAACTTGGTTATTGATATATTGAACATGGGAATCCCGATTCGGTGTGACTTTGCAGGGAATATAATAAAGACTGTAGTGCAATTTTTTTTTAAATTTTTAGTTAAACGGGTTACTAAATACAGATATGTATATAACTATATTATTTTGCCATTATTATACCTTTTGCGAAACCTTCTGAGAATTCTCTTGGAAGTTCATWATTCCTTCGGATATTTTCACGTTGATCGGTATCACGACCAGTTCGATGTTGAATGGTCCTAGTAGACGTTTTTTCACTTTCTCCATGATATCTGTTAATGGAAAATCGTTATGTTGTATGTATATCGAAATCGATATTAAAAAAAAAAAAACTATTATCCGATGACTTACCCAAAAATGCATTCCAGTCTTGATCGAGCTGCGAGTGATACGCAAGACATCCCTTCATGACGTTTAAACAATATCCGTTACAGGCTTTGCTGTCCTGCAGTCCTCTGCAAGCCGGACATTGGGTCATTCTGGTGAAACCAACCAAACACTCTTGGGTGGGCGCCATCTGTAAAATTTAAAATCGATCGAATATTAGTATACCTGTCGAGAAACCACGGAAGTGTAGATAGTTATTGTTGGTTAAATTTAATAGCACRCCTGCCCTCTCTTTCTCTAATGCGGCAATCAGTTTTATTTTGTAAAACAGCAGTTATCCTACTCGAAGATTCCAATAAAATAATCAATTATATTTTTATATACATATAAAACATATATAAGACATATATCATTTACTGGTATAGATGAGTTTATATATATTATATAATGTACRTATTATTATGATTAACTACAATATTTAGGCATGTACCCCCTCAAAGCTAATTAGTAATTATGCATTTACGTTGAGCCATCATTAATATTTTTTAACGTTTTTTGCGTTTTAAAACCAAAATTATCCAAGTCCCGGATATTATGAATGCTCCTGATTATACTGCCAATGCTCTTTGGTAAATATTATTATATACTAAATTATAATATAATGGGTGTTAAATCTTAATATATATAATTAACTATACAAAACATATAATACGTCCACAATGTAACACGAACCTTGTTTATGTTGGCCAAAATGTCACCGGCTATTTTCAGTGCCTGGACGTACGTTCTGGAAGCGACAAATGACCTTTTCAGCGGCGCTGAAAGTTTGTCTGGCACGTCRCCAAAGGGTGCTACCTCCGACATGCTCTCGCTGACGCACACCAAATACCTGCGGATAACACAATCGAACAGTGTTATAAAAACGTAGCTAATCAACCTTAACGGATAATTAATGTTAATATTATTGTTATTTATTCATTTTTTTTTATTATTCAGACAATTGAAGCAGATCCAAAAAATGTATACAAATCTGGCCGATATAGGTATTCTTTTTGCATATAGTTTCCTTTCAGACTATATTTTAAAATTTTACGTTTTAATATTAAGTACCTTCTAAACTAAAACAATTTTTTGTATAAAAATTTAGCCTAGTTTTTTATACGACAAATTTAGAGGGATAATATGTCTATTACAATCCCCCCCCCCAAATTACAGAAGAAATGCCTATGTATTTTACATAGGTATAATATAGACCATACAATATATTGAATGAAATAAAAAAAAATTACTCTAATCAGTATTATAATCTGCAGTTGTCGTTTTTTAATATTTAAAATCTCTCCGAGCATAAAAAAAAAACAACAATAAAAACTTGAAGTTTTAACTATAAGGCTAAATGATAAATATAGCAGACTATAAAATACAGTTAAATATAATACTGTCGTTATAAAAAAGGAGAGGTTGTCTCATCATGTAAAAAAAGGYGTACATACCATCAGAAGAAATACATTATATTATAATGTTATCATGGCATAACAAATCGAAACATCTAGAAATAATACGAACAAGGATAAACGAGGATGATGAGTATCCTTTGTAAACCACCCTACTGTGTCGTCCGAAATACCATAGCTATTGTGTAAATATACATTAGTGTGTATGTGTTATCCACACGAGGAATTCGATTTCCTGACCACAGCTGTGACAGTAGCACCTCTCTGAAATGTTAAACTGATGAAACATACCTATCGTAAAGTTGTATAGCTGCCGAACGGAACTCGTGCAGCGGAACGGACTTTTGAAAACGTGACGGAAATCTACGAAATCGGTAGTAGTTCGTGTCAAGTCGACCGCAATAGCGAAACCGTTCATTCAGGCAGAAACAAAAAAAAAGTTTTCCGAGAGATATTGTCRCGCGCGATCGTATATATATATAAGTATAATATATATGCATTATACATATAGAGCGCATAAAATATTATAAAACGCATATAGGTCGACATATATTATGTATGAGACGCAAATGGGAAAAGCTATAGTTTGAATATATATGCGTATAATATTAAAGGTATATTATAGCAATATATTATGATGCGTATGAAAATGATAAAATGTATATGAAAAAAAAAATCACTCACTTGGCGTCGAACGTAAATTGGCTGTTCATGACAGTGAACATTTTCTGACAGAGAACGGAGAAGAAGTTTTCCAACACCTCGACAATGTTCGTGTTGCCAGCGTCGTAATACTTTTCCAGGTCCCGGAACAGATCCTGGAACAGGTACGAGTTCTGTTCGTACATCATTCCGTACGTCTTTTTGAACATGTCGTGGAAACCCATCCTGGCCTTGTTCAGCATATCTTTGAAGTACTCTATAGTCGGGAAAAAATCAATAAATAAATACGATCGATACGTCGATTGTAAA